TCCAGGTGTGGCCAACACATCTCTTTTCAAGCTCGCCTTTGTTGTGGTTCAGTATATTACAAGCTCTGTGAGTTGTGTTCAGAAAGCATTAAGCCAAGGCTTAATTTGAGCCAGGCCTCAACTATAAAAAAATAATAATACTGAAAGTACTGAAGAACGAAGAAGCAGAAACGCCTCGGAACATGCACAGAGTATCTTTTATTCACTAATGACCAACTACATCTTGCAACCAGCCTAGAAGTCAGACTCTAATGGGGGGGGGGGATGGGACATAACACTCTGCACATTCTCTGAGGAACTCTTCTTTATTATTACAGTGGCACCTTGGTTCTTAAACACCTTGGTACTCAAACAACTTGGAACCCAAACACTGCAAACCCAGAAATAAGTGTTCCAGTTTGCAAACATTTTTCAGAAGCCGAACATGCTCCGTTTTGAGTGTTACGCTTCCAATTTGAGGGCCACACTTCCGTTTTGAGTGTTACGCTGAGGTCTGTCTGTTTTTGCTATTTAATTTGCATTTTTGTGACTCTTTTTTGTGTGACTGTGTGTAACCCAGTTCAGCTACTGATTGATTGATTGATTGTGTGACTGCAGAACATTGTTTATTGCTTTCACTTTATGGCTCAATGGTCTCGTTAGATAGCAAAATTCATGTTAAATTGCTGTTTTAGGGGTTGTTTTTAAAAGTCTGGAATGGATTGATCCATTTTGCATTGCTTTCTATGGGAAAGTGTGTCTTGGTTTTGGAACGGACTTCCGGAACGGATTAAGTTTGAGAACCAAGGTACCACTGTACTTAACATTCTCCTTGTTTGTTGTGCAAAATCCTGCTCAGAAGTGAAGTTGAAGTGGCGTCCGGCTGAAATGAGCTCCCTGCCAGACATGCACAATTCTGAGACTGCTCTGCCTTACCAAAGCTGCTTCAGGTTGGAGCCCAAGGGGTGTGTGTGTGTGTGTGTGTGTAGAGGGGCGGGGGACAACCCCTAATGTTCTAACGTTTGTGCATCTCTCCTCGTTTATTGCAGCCTCCGAGTCCACTTGCATTCCTAGCAGGATAAACCGCATAGTGGAACGAGATAGAAAGACCTTGAAAGGGCGACATGGAGTATCGTTCTGAAATCTTGTGCGGGGGAGAGAGGGGAGAAGGAAGGTGGCGTAGGAAGGGAACAACACATCAGAACTGCTCCTTGCTCTCTTCTCCCTCTCCTCCCTCCTCCCCAAGCCCCAAACAGCTCCACGGTCAATCCTGCCCATTCCAGGATTGCAGCAGGTGCCTTTGCTGAATGAACCCTCTGCAGTTGTGAGTAACTGCCTCTTAGACGCAGTGTCATTTGTATGCGAGTGAGGGGCCCTGCACAGCTGAATGAACAACCTGTTCTTAATCCAAACAGGAAGTTGGGGGCGGCGTGGGACGGGGAAGGATGATTCAGGGGATGGATGGGAGAGACGGGCGCCCTGAATACTAATGCAGCCTCTCTCTTCACCGCCACCCCCCCTCCCTAAAAAACCCTGATTCGCTGTAGTGTGTGCTACTGCGATGCAGACAGGCGGCAAGGCAGCAAGACAGATGTCTGCAGTCTTTGACTGAAGCTGAATGTGCCGCTGACCATCTAAGCAAAGAGGCAGAAGGGGTTTTTAGGGTCACCAATCTCTCTCTCTCTTTCTGACACACACACATTTGTGTCACTGTCCCTTCATTCAGGGAGCTCAGAGTAGCATCAGGAGTGCTATCCATGCATATCCATGCATTGGTCAGGTATGATCCTGTTTTAGATTCCAAAACGAAAACCACTGCACGTTCCTCCTCTGTACCATTCTTGGGGCCTGTGTTCAGTTTACACGTTCGCTCTATCAAATCCACGACATCCAGGCCACGAGCAAAAAGATCAGGAGCAAATAAGATGTGCCGTACCAACACACTGCAGAGCAAAAGAGCCAAGCCACTGGAGAAAGCAAAGCTTGGCTTCCGACAACTGATGCAAAGTGAAGAAAAATGTATCTGGGCTGTTTGCAGGATGCCCTTCCGTTCCTATTGCATAACTGGATGCATGTCATATCCATAGGTAAAGGTAAAGGGACCCCTGACCATTAGGTCCAGTCGTGACCGACTCTGGGTTGCGGCGCTCATCTCGCTTTATTGGCCGAGGGAGCTGGCGTACAACTTCCGGGTCATGTGGCCAGCATGACTAAGGCGTTTCTGGCGAACCAGAGCAGCGCACGGAAACGCCGTTGACCTTCCTGCCGGAGTGGTACTTATTTATCTACTTGCACTTTGACGTGCTTTCAAACTGCTAGGTTGGCAGGAGCAGGGACCGAGCAACAGCAGCTCACCCCATCGCGGGGATTCAAACCGCCGACCTTCTGATCGGCAAGATCTAGGCTCTGTGGTTTAACATACATTTAAAGCACTCTAGGACTGCTTTAACAGCCATGGCTTCCCCCAAAGAATCCTGGGAACTGCAGTTTCTCAAGGGTGCTGGGAACTGTAGTTCTCTTACAGAGCACTGTGGAGAACATAGTTGTGTTCCTTTTTAAGTGCCCCTGAAAAAGAAATATACTCTGAAATGCATTGCACCAGTATTTTTTTTTTTTTACATTTTGTGCACTCTTGAGATAAAAAAAAGGACAATTGCGATGTAAATGAAATGAATAAAAATCTTCTATGCATTTATACCATGTGATCAGAATAAGGTTGTGGCCAAATCTTTCTTTCTTTCTTTTTGCTAGTTCTTCACTTTCATCCTTCCCGTAACCACATATCCAAATAGTAAAATGCTACTGAATGTATGTGAATAGCACTATTGTGTAATACGACCCAAATCTATGCAGAGGCCAAGCATTTTATTAAATACCCTTCAGTTTTTAAAAACAATTAAGCCATTGCAGGATAGACTATTATAGGCTATGGCAGAATAAATACAGCATAACAGAACCTTCCACAATCTGGAATTGGGGTGGAAGGAGGCTCAGGCAGTTATACTTGTTGGGAAGGTCCTTATTTTATCTATGAAATTTTCAAGATATTCCAGGAGGAATAGAAACTTGCATTTTTTTAAAATTTCAGATGTTTATCTTTAACATTCCATACCTCCTGAACATGTTCAGTCCTTAATGGAATGTGTATCTTTCTGTATAAATTATAGTATTTTAAAAAATATATTTGCATGTATACATATAAATTAGAATATGCTTAACTGGGCAATCTACTTGCAGGACCAGGACTTGTGTTTGTGCGCGCGCACACACACACACACACACACCAATGATTATCCAAATTGGATTTCCAATCAGTGGTTTTTCCAAAAATGTGGCAGGCAAGTACTTTCTGTCTACTTCCACTCTTATTAATCTAATCACTGGAGAAGAAAAATGCCAGTATTAAGTGAAGAAGGTGATTTACACGCTACTAAGAAAAGGAGGATATGCACTACTGAAAGAGAGAACAAAAGAAATACTAATCTGCATAAACTTTGCTTATGTTATTGTATACGTATAGGCACATATTTAGAAATTCTGTACTCAACTCCAATGTATTTACATTTTACAGAATGAAAACAGTTGGTTGGTTGTTTAATTTATATACCGAAGATCCCAGGGCAGTTCAGAACAGAAAAATACAAAGTGAGAACACAAAACACATGATAAAACAAAAACAAACCAATAACACACACAAACACATTTCAAATAAGTTTTCCAAATCACTCCAAATAATTGTTCAATTAATTTGCACCCCACCCCAAAACCAATCATTCCTTTTCAATTGATTTTACAACAATGAAATGTCCACCCTGAACCTGCTGGAAAATCAGGTCCACTTTAATTAATGACCCCATTCATCAACTTTAATTAAACCCTCCATAAATTAGATTCAAAACAAATAGGGCGCAGCAGTCTTGTTTGCAAGCCTGGGGTAGTAAAAGTTTTTAGGGTTTTCTGTTTTACAAAGCAACCCTGAGTGAAAACAAACATGAGTTTTAAATGGGATTAATTACTTGAATTCAAAAAAAAATTAAGGGGGCGCTCTCTCTCTCTCCTCTTAATCAGCAGGCTGGGAACTCTCAGCTGTGGCTGCTGCACAGTACAAACTGAAATGTTGTAGGCAGTTCTGTGTGAGCATCCCAAGGTCGGAACAAAAGTTTCAACAGTGGATTGAGGCTAGAGATTGGGAGTTATCCACACACCTGTTCCAACCCTCCTGCACAGGACATTATATTCTACAAGACACTACAGTGGTACCTCGGGTTACAGACGCTTCAGGTTACAGACGCTTCAGGTTACAGACTCTGTTAACCCAGAAATAGTACCTCCTCGGGTTAAGAACTTTGCTTCAGGATGAGAACAGAAATCGTGCTCCGGAGGTGCGGCAGCAGCAGGAGGCCCCATTAGCTAAAGTGGTGCTTCAGGTTAAGAACAGTTTCAGGTTAAGAATGGACCTCCAGAATGAATTAAGTTCTTAACCTGAGGTACCACTGTATATGCATGTGTGCAGAGAGCACACAGAGATGCAGTACACACACACACACACAGAGAGAGAGAGAGAGAGAGAGAGAGAGAGAGAGATTGCAGCATATAACGCTACCCTCCATGTGCACTCTGCCCATCATAACAATGGGAGTTTCATATTTCTCTCCATGTACATAGCTGGTTCCAAACGTTCTGTCCACACTAGAGAGACTGACCAAGAAACAAACCTGATTGGTCCTTCCCCTGCCGCCCTCAAGCCACTCACTGGATATGGGAGGGCCAAGTCCAATCAGTTCTGGTAGTCATTTTTGCCTGTTTCAAAATATCCCCTTTAAAAAAACCACGCCATTTTTTTGCTAATCCAATTCAATTCCTTAAAAGTAGTGAGAGCGACAGACCCTTGAGGGTTATAAGCCCAGTAACAGCAGCTTTTATGGTCAGCCATGGAAGCTGCCATTGGAGTCAAAGAAATGTAGAGTTGGAAGATACCGTGTGGATCCTTTAGTCCAACCCCATGCAATGCAGGAATTTTTCGCCCAAGGTGGGGCTCAAACTCACGACCCTGAAATTAGAAGTCTCATGCTCTACTGACTGAGTCCCTCTACCCCCAAGTCGCGCCACCCCACCCCTCAAAAGAGATTAGACAGCCGTAAAATTGTATAACTAATCTAAAAATATATCATACTCCTTGCCCCTCATTCTCACTCCTCATGAACCCTAGCCTTTGTGTCCTCCCCTCAATACATACGACCCATCCCCTCTCTTTCCAGAAAACATTAAAAAGGAGCGTGGGGGAGAAACCCAGAAGCGTAGTAAAAAAAGAGTTTGGCGGGACCTTGTGCCACCAGAAATTTGTTAGGTTTTTAAACTTTTATAGGCCAAAGAGTGCTTTATCAGAGGCATGACCTCTGGCTTAGGGAAGCTTATGGCACAGGAAATTTGTTAGTCTTCAAAGTGCCACCAAGCCCCTTGGTTGCTCAAAGGAAACACAGGAAAAGTGGGGCACATGATGCAATTTCAGACACCGAAGCAAATTTGCATCTTCATTTGGAGACCGTATTTTGTCTCCTGCCTCTTTTCTCTGTGCCCACTGTCATAATTTCACCCTCTGCACCCCATTCTCATTGCTTTATTCGTCTTTCTCTTCCTGACACCACCTCCCCCAAAATGAAGACACGTACAGCGCTTTCATGATTTCTGAGGGCTGAATCCAATACTTCATACTAGTGCGCATTTGATATTTACATCTTTCCCTCATACCACACAAACGGGGGGTGGGGGGAGGACAAGATTCCTTGCTGGCAAACCCAGATTGTGTGGAAGAGCTCCATCCTCCTCAGAATCTATTTTCAGGAGTTTTATAACCCACCTCGAAATTCCTCAGCCGATAGCCTTTGCCAAATTCTGGTTTAGCTGCTGAGGTTTATGGTTGTCGTCACCACAAACACTCGATGTATTTATAGCTCTTCTACGGGCTTCACTCCAAACTTGCCTTCGGTGGGTCCTCCCTAGCTCCACTCCACTCCAAAATATTTCTTTCCATTTATCCAGGCTCAAGCAAAGAGGAAGGCACACAGACACTGACCCACAATGTGCTAAAATCCAGGTTTTGCCTTCCCTTCTTGCAAGAAACAACATGTTCTGCTTTCGCTGAATGTCTTCAAAGCCCAGCTGCTGGTTCACCTTTGCAAAGCAGCACTGGGGAAGGCATGATTTCAAGCAGAAAACTGATATGCAAGAGTAGGGCGCTCCACCCTTATTCCACTATCTACTTTGCCCCTACAGCTGCAGGAATATGCAGCCGTCCCATACAGGAAATGAACCTGCAACCTTGGTGTTATCAGCACCATGCTCTAACCAATGAGAGGGATGGTGCAACCAGGGGCAAACTACACATTATACTGCAGGCATAGGAATAGATGCTCTGTCTTGGAAAGCATCCCAAGAAAGGGGTCATTTGCATTAGTGAAGAAACAGGAAGGAAGCAAAGAGCTTGACTTGTCCCCTACAACTTCCCCTCCCCTCCATGCAAGCTGGTTTTACCACCCCTTGCAGGGTTCCATTTGTGTTTGCAAGGTAAGCCTAGAACATTGGAAAGCCAGAGATTTTAAGGGAAACTGAGTAGAAGGGGAAGGAGTAAACATTATTTTCTTCCCATCCCTTCTCCGACACAAGGGAGAAGGGAGAAAGGGCCATCAGGAACATTTGTTAAATGCGAATGAAGCTTAGTCTGTAATTTGCTCCAGAGGAGGAAGCCATGAAGACACAAAAATGGTAGCATAAATGCTCTCTCTCCCAAGCTTGCCCCCTTGAGGGAAGCCAGCAGTGCTTGCAAAGGACAGACTTATTGGTCTCTTTGGAGAGAGATTTGCGTAGATAGGAAACCCTCACAAGCAGGCTCCTGTGGTTTTAATTGATAGCAAGGGGGAAAGCCAGGCTCGTGTTGCAAGCAATTAATTTGCAACAGGCTAAGGGAGTACATGTTCTTTCCCCACCCCACCAACCAACTTTTCCTTAACATAATAAGAGTTTGCAGTGACTCAAGAAAGCGGAGAAAGAGCTTAAGTGCCAAATTATGTCTTACTTCTGGAAAGGCTTGCTCACAAACATGCACCTGTAAAAGTAGTATAAATGCAGGGTTCAGGGTAGGGGTGCCAGATCTCTGGGTCTGACCTGAAGTCTCCAGGTTTCCCTAGTTCCCTCCAGGTGATGGGCCTGAATCTCCAGGTGGGTGAGTCAATAACAATAATAATAATACTTTGTTCCCGAATGGCTTAGTTGAAAAACAAATAGGCTCCCAAACATCGCAAACCTGGAAGTGTTCCGGTTTGCGAACGTTTTTTGGAAGCCGAACGTTCGTTTCAGCTGTTGGCATTGTTTCCAGGGTCTTGGTTTTCCAACATTTTGGAAGTCAAACGAACTTCTAGAATGGATTGAGTTCGAGAACCAAGGTACCACTGTAATAATAATGATTGCACATGCAGTCTGCCTTTCTCCCCATTCCCAGTTAACCTCAATCTACATAGCCATCCTCCAAAATGTCACCATGGTCCTCCAACTGTGACATCACCAGGGGCAGCCCCAGGTCTCAGGTTTGGGCCCTCAAATCTCAGGATCTGAGATGCTCCTGACCAGGCAACTCCAACTAAGGATGCTTGTGAGGGAGAAGGGGCTTAACGCTTTCAGCACCTGCTGATTCTTCTCTGCAAATTATCATCACCATCAGCTTATTTGTATGCTGCTTTCCTACTATACTGTGCTTGAAATGTCTCACAATATATTAAATGAACAGCTATTAACAATTCCTAATCTCAGTAATAACAATTATTATCATTGGGTGGGAGTCATGCTCAGAGTGGACACACTGGACTTTGATTTCACCAGGTCTACTTTGAGTGTGACTTTGTTGGATAATTGATTTAATGCCAATTAAGTAAATACTGTGAGTTGGGGGGGGGGAATCCATAAATAAATAACACCGACTAGGATCTGGGAGACCAGAGTTCAAATCCCCATTCAGCCATGAAGCTTGCTAGGTGACCTTGGCTCAGTCTCTAAGTCCCAACCTAACCAAAGTCACAGGGCTGTTGTGAGGATAACATGGAGAGAGGGAAGAACCAAGCACACCACACCTTGAGCTCCTTGGAAGAAAGGTGGGATAGAAATGCAATAATTAAATAAATAGAAGAAGTAGTAGTATGCAAGGCCAAAAAGCTCTCTACTCCACAAGGCCTTCCACAAAGGTACACTACAGGTAACTCTGCAGACGCTGGGTGGCAACTACAACTCTTGCTTGCCTCCCCATCCCCCAATGTACCTCTTTTAGCCCATTTTCCCTCATAATTAGGCTTATTTCTTGTTCCTGGGAGGAAAAAGACAGGTTACAAATCATCTCAAGGAAAGGACCCTTGCAGGCAAGAATCAACAGGTGAGGGAAGACTAAGCGCCCCCAACCAATTCAAGTTGTTTGGGCTTTTAAATACCAGCAGCAAAACCTTGAATTCGGCTCAACAGCTAGTAGGTAGGCTATTGTAAATATAGATTTGTGAATTGGGAGCCAGGGAGCACTGTCAAAGCCCAAGTGCCCTGCAGAGCTCTTTGCCCCTTCTTATAGTAGCGCAGAAATTGGATCATACGAAGATGTAAAATCCTGGGTCAGAACACTGATCCATCCAGCAGGGTATTGTCTACACCAGGTATCTTCAAATGCCTTTTGACCCAGGATCCGCGTTTATCCCAAACTGCATTTGGGACACATTTCTTAATCTTTTAACATGGTGGCCATGTTCCTGTTGTGATCCACTAGTGGAAGCTGACCCACCAGCTGAAGACCAATGGTTTACACTGACGGAGAGAAGCTCTCCAGAGTCCCAAGTAAGTATCTTTTCCATCACTTGAAGTTCCTTTAACTAGAGCTTGTCAGGGACTAAACAGGAATCTCCTTTATATTGCTCCAACACTGAGCTATGGCTCTTCCACAAGGCTTTGGATTCCGATGGTGCTATTTTGTTTGTGTAAATACAGAATAACTAACATTCCCAGCTATAAAGCTTAGAAACTTTGGCATCTATGCAGAAAAGTGTAAGAGATTTAGGTGCATTTTTACCTTCACAAACTCACACCCCCTGAGTTTGGGGATAGGCCTGCTGGGGAAGAACCGTGGAAGAAAAGCAGTGGGTGGAGAAAGGGTTAGGCACCTTCTCCCCTGTTCTATTTCTTTACTACAAATCAGTCCCTCCCCCAAGCTGTTTTGCTCTAATGCAGGAACAGGGAACCAATGGCCCTCCAGATGTTGTTGGACTCCCAATTCTGATCAGACATGGCTTATGGTCAGGGATGGGGAGCCCAACAACATCTAGAAAGATGGAATCACTTAGCCACCCAAGTGCAGAGGCAACATTAATCAGGAGCAACAGATTTAAGAGAAGGCCACAGGATCATTAGCTCCATATGCTGACTCAAGTGAATTCATTCTGCCCTTCTTGGTCTGGTTTGATCATTACATCTGACTGCTGTTGACTCTTAGTTAAAAAATGAACCAGGGGATTCTCCTAAACCAGAGTTAACAAAGGCCACTTATCAAGAACTCCAGTGCAAAAAAAAAGACCCGGGGAAATTTGCATGCCAACCTGTCTCCCACTCTGAAATCTGGCTATCAGTCTATCTGCATCAGACACGTTTAGAAATGTACTTAATTCTTAATTATTGCTAATATTACCGTATTTTTCGTCCCATAGGACGCTCTGTCCCATAGGACGCACCTAGTTTTTTTGGGGGGGAATAAAGGGGGGGAAATTTCCTTTATTTCCCCAAAATCAGGTCGGGGAAACCGAACCAGGTTGAGGAACAGCGGGATGGCGGCGCTGCGCCTCCCTGCTGTCCCCCGAGCTTGTGGGGCTGGCCGATGTCTGCCCAGCGTGAGGGGCGCTCTGCTTTAGGGCGCCTTTCGCGCCGGGCGGCAGGCTGCTATCCGCAGCGTGGGGAGCCCTGCGGGGAACTCCCGCAGGGCTGCCTAGGCTGCAGGTGTCTTCCTGAAGCCTGGAGAGCAAGAGGGGTCGGTGCGCACCGACCCCTCTCACTCTCCAAGCTTCATCGAAAGC